AAGAGAATTATTTTTCATTATAAGAAGACAGAACACTTGTGGATTTAGGTCTAGAAATGGGCAGAAAAGCAGTGAAATGACAAATTATTTTACTTTAAAATATCTGAAATAGCAGTGATTTTTACCTCACTTCTTTTTTTCTGAGTAGGTTAATTTAAGGGACTAGTACAAAATTGATGTAAATTAATTTAGAGAAGCTGGCCCTTAATTTTTTGTTTTGGTTTGAGGCACTGGGTCTATCATGCAAATAAGGGTTTATGAGATTGGGCTCTTTGGGAGTTACAGGATTATTTTTTTACAGTAAAATAATATAGAAATTGCTATTAAAAAATCTCATCTCTTGTCATTACCATCAGACCGAAGGGAGGCTCAATGGTATGCTGGCAATGTGCAAATGTTGATTTTTTAGAAGAGGCTCATTCTAGCTGAATACCCTAACAAGAGTATGAAACAAACCATCAAAACAAACTGTGCTGCTAACACTTTCTAATTTTTCATTTTAAATATCAAGTCTATGCATTTTGGTTTCATAAACACAAGCATGCAAACAATTCTTATAACTACAGTTAAATGGAAAGCCACACTGAAACACATTTTGACAATCCGCAGCATAGTGCTGGCTCTGAGCCCACATTGCCACAGACGTGATAAGGTGATGAAAACACTGTCAGGCATTTTAGATAAGAAAAGATTCAGGGCAAGGGAGAATAACAGCTAAAGAGGACTAACATTTGTTAGGGCTGTAGCAAAAGAAGATAAACAACAAATAGAAGGTCTCTGAGGAAACTCAAGCAACATATGCCCCGAATTGAAATGAGAGAACCTGAAGTTGATCTTTTATCCAGGTAGCTAATGTACCACTATATTAAATGGTGACCTTCTATCACTAGGCATCCAGCTCTCATCCTAGCTGCTACTACTGGTATCACATATGTTAAAAGGATTTTAATGGCACCTCTAGCTCCTCTTGTATTAGGCAGGAAGTTGGACAAATACATAAGTACATTGATTAAATAACAGCCAAGTCAAGCCCTGTCTTTAAGCTTTAATCAGGATGTTGAATTTGAGTTATGATTTACTTACGTGCTGTTATCTTCCTTCGCAAGAAACAAATTTCAGATTCAGGACTAAAACAATATTAATAATAATAATCAATAACGCATATGACTTCCTACCTCCAGCCTGTCTGTCCTCATTAATTTCTGTGCAGCAGCAGCGGCAGCTGCAGGAACTGGGACACCTGGGTTCCCTGCAACCAGCATTGGTGCAGTCGGCAGGATCTCTGCTGGGACCAAGCCCGGAGAGACAGGTCCCAGGTAGGGATTAAAGGCTGCTGATGCATTGGTGGCTAAGCTTGGTGCAACTGAAAACATTGGCTAGAAAAAAGAAAAGAAGAAACTCTTTCATATTTATATTATTCAGTACATCACAATGACCTTATATTGTAAACTTGCTGTTTCAGACTACCTGTTAGACCATGACAGTGGTATATTTCTGCTATTAAGACAAATACAATATTTGTTCTACCTAAGGAATACAGAACACACATCTAGAATCTTAACCCATTCGGCTAGTAAAATGTTAACTGAGATGGATTTAATCTGTCAGGCCACATTAGATTTTTTCACAGAACTTGGGAGGAACTCTTGTATGTGACATGAGGCAGTGCTTCCACTGTACTTTGACTCAATCTCCCCTTTGCAGGGTCACCCCTCTGTGCTCCCACAGGGCCATGTAAGAAAAATGTCTGACAACAATCATGTCAAATGCTCTCAGATGTGCACATTTAAAATGTGTGCATGGAGAGAGAAAGAAATTTTAGTGGGTGACTCAAGACATCCTCACATGAAATCATTCTTTAAGTTCACAGGCAGATTCTCTTATCTACCCTGATGTACATCTGGAGCAGCTCTGCTGAAGGTAGTAGAGTCAATGAGGGGTAAGAACAGAACAGAGCATGAAGAACAATCATTCCTTTTTGATAAAACTAATAAGGCTGTCTACCCAGAGATTCAGTAAGAAGTAAAAAAGCTCCGTCCCTTGATATATTTTGACTAAACTGTGAAGCCAAGGAAAAGAGTTGATAGTATCAGACCGAGAGGTATGCAAATGAAGGTACAGTTTTTCTTTGGTAAGCAACTTAAGAAACCAGTTAACAATATGAAGATCTCATACAATCTACAAATGCTAGGAGGAAAACCTAACTAAATGCAGAAGCCCAACCAAGAGTATGTTAACTGGGCCAGCAACCTATGGCCCACAAAGGGATTGGACTGGCCCATGAAGGTTCAATCCAGTCTGCATTTTACTAAGGGTGTGCTGATTCCCCAGCTGCTTGAGATGGTCTCAGTTTTGTTAATGCCGTGCCCATCACCTGCCCTAGCCCATGTGGAAGGCTGCTCTTCCTCACTGCAGTCTGTGTTCCCTGGCATAGCCAGAGGGAATGGTAGCCTACGTTTAACCCACATTTGAAAAAGGTTGGCAACCACTGTTTAAAACAACTCTGTGCTGTTATATACTGGTATAAACCTGAAGTAACTCCACTGAATAAAAAGGAGTTGCTCTACCTGTACAACTGACAGCAAAATTTAGCCCAGAGTCCTTATTTTGATATCTGGGTAGAATGGCTAGTAAATGCATATAAAGCTCTCTTACAACCTAACTCCAAACTGTCTTTGCAATTAACCAGGTGCTGTGTGTATGCATGTGTTTTATATTCTCCATGAAAAGATTGAATTGCTTGGCAAATAAGAAACCAAAATATATCATTGGAAACACTGGACAAAAACATGTATGTACAAAGATTATTTATAAACCAGCCTGAAAGAATGCACCACACAATAAATATTTAACTTTTAATGCTTCATTTGTCCAAGTCTCAGCCAGTTTGTTTATTTTTCTACATTATAGGATTCTTGCAAGCATAACAAACTATACTGAACACTACTTGTCAATTGGTGCTAAACCTTTCTGATTTCATTGGCTACATAAACTGTGGGGAGTTGCTCCACATACACTTGTACTATACAAAAACAATACAAAAATACACAAACTAATAACTTATTTGGAAAAAAAATTGAACTTGTGTAATTCTTAACTAACAAATGACACTGTAATAGTATTAGTTCCCCTTCTGTAATCAAACCAATTCAGGGAAAGGCAGTCGAAGCAGAGGCAAAACATTTTTAGGTGCTCACAGAATCTAAAGGAAATCCACTGGGTTCCTACAAAGCTGCTGCTTTGATTGCTGAAAGGACCTCATCAAACTTCATGCGTCATTTGACTGCAATCCAGAGTAAGTCAGAAGTGGCCACCATAGGCTCATCTACAAGTGTGGATTTACTGTGCAGTAACTGAAACTACTGCACAATACAAGCATGAGTCTACACACAGTACTACGCTGACTTGAGTGTAAATTGGATACCTGCATCATGCAGGTATCCAATTTACATGTGATTAGTTACTAAGCAGAAACACATGTGTAGACCCCTGACTGCACAATAACACTTTGTGTGTGGACTGACTTGATACTAACTTTAGTCCTAAATCAGGGCATACACAGTGTTATCGTGCTTTAACGCCTGCACGTGTAGACACTGGCCTACTCCCGCTTACTGCACAGTAAATTTAAGCCAGTGTAAATACATGTGTAGACACACCCTGTGAGAAGGAAGGCTATGTAGTTCACAAGAATGGAAGAGGAATGCAAGTTGGGATTCCCAGCCCTGCACTATAGGGACCCTAATTTTCTATGATTCTGTGATAAGTAAAAAAGTCCTATCCTTGAGGGCTCACAGTTTAGGCTCATAAAAAAATACAACATATAGAAGAAATAGACAGGGATAGACAGGGGGGGAGGGAGTGTAAGGGAATTATAAAAAGACAATAATTTTGCCTGATAAGTCTTCTTTTTTAACTATTAACTTAGCCAGCATCATTGTCTTAAAGCAGTGTGGTGTAAATAACCTTTTTGTGTGGTGCACAGCATACTGGGGAGGGAGCAGGGAACACTGTGGCAAATAGGGCAGGAAAAAGAATGCAGAACAGCGGAGCAGGAAAGGAGCACAGGGCAGGAAGCAGAAAGAAGAGCAGCAGATCACGCAGGGGAAGGTGAATGTAGTGGCCTTTGGGGAGGGTGCAGGGCTTAAATGGTCATACGTGTGCAACGAAGGTTGGCCTCCACCAAAGCTAGAGACAGACATTCAAAAAGCCTGAGCCTGAATTGATTCAATCTTTGCAGGTTAGTCTAACCTGGCTAGGCTAAATCAGTTTGCAACCATACAGACATCCCACAACTTAAGGCACATGTTTGTAGTGGCTCAGGCTAGAAGTCAGGGAGTTACTACAGTAGCTCTCCCTTCCCTTCTACAGTACTGAGCAGAGGGGGGCATGGCCAAGCTCTGGCAGGATACTCTGCTTAGGGAGGGCCTCCACCCCCCTTCTCATTGATTACAGCATTTATCAGCTCTGTTATCAGCATTTATCACGCCATCGGAAAACAAAGCCTCTCTCCATTAGTTCAAGTTCTTCTTAAGCAGCTTTTCTAAGGAAAGAATAGAGGAACATTACCAGCTACCTGTTGCTTAGTCCCAAAGAGCCTTAAGCCACTGTGCTGTCTACCTTTGTCCAGTGTCCCACAGCACAGACTGTAGTCAGCATGTGGTATGCTAGCTAATGCTGAGATGTGTCTGTGTAAGACAGAGGGAGGGGGATATCCCTGCTTAGTAGGGAGTGGTGAGGAGAGGAGGGCGGAGCAGGAGGAAGCCAGGCAGACGCCTGCAGTCTCTGCCCAAGCTGCAGCCAGGGAGCAGAGGGGAGGGCCAGCTCTGCTGTGGAGCAGAAAGACCAGCCTGGAGAGCATGCTGGAATACTGGGGGAGTCTGCTTTAACTTAAACAAGGAAGGGGTCTGGGACAGACATTGTATAAACTGGTTTGAGCCAAATCAGTTAAGTCTGATACTACATTCAACCAGGTTTATCTCAAACTGGTTTATGTGCACTGAACATCTGTTCTGTTACAGGTTTAAACTACTTTCTGATCACTTAAACCGGTTTATGCGTAATGTCTGTCCCTAGCCTTAGAGCATGATTCTGTTCTAATGTTCTAAACATGATCATGAAAAACAAGCATACTTCTAACTCACTACTTCTGCTGGCTGTAAGTCTGATTTGCAAAGCTGATGAAAACCAGGAGCTCCTACTGGTTTGGAGGAGATTTTGGGTACTCAGCACCTTTGAGCACCAGGCTGTATACTGTATTCTGAGCCATATCTTCTTACTTGAATGGTAAGATCATTTTCTTTCTGTGTTTTACTCTTATAAGCCCTGCAAAATCAGCATGGGTGAGAGAGTGCAAGTGGGATTCTTGTCTGTCTTGCATATCATTGACAGAGTGGTTACTACGCTCCATCAGTTACACTTGTACAATCCCAATGAAGAAAATAAATCATTCCAACCAAGAGCATTATATCCAGTTAGGGACACAATTTCAAAACATAACCCTGTGCATGCATACCAGCACAGGGTTATTCACCACTAATGAATTTCTAATCACTGATATTTGTGCATGCATCTGACAGTGCTGATCTGTAGAAAAGTGCATGTACTGTGTGAAGATACAGACACAAGCACATAAATTTAAAGCCAAACAGAAAAATCACAGTGTTAATGCAGCGACAATAAAGCACTCAAATACTGGGAACTGTAAAAAATTCAAGTTGATCCCACAATGATCAATTATATATTCAAGATATTTAACTATTGCATATATTAATGACAGGCAGGAATACACTTATGTCTGCACTAAGCTAGGGAACCCAGAGGGCTTGAGTTTCATACATAATAACTGGGCCTCACAGTCCATGCATTGAATTTTGTCAGTTGAAATAACCTACAATATCTCCAGTTTCAAAAAAGAAGACACCTGTCGTGGGGAAGGAGGTAATATGATTGTGGAGGGCAGTGATACGCCTGTGCCCTGCCCCTGCCCCTCACTCCCAAGTCACAGACCCCCCAGCCCCTCACTCCTGACCCACCAGGCTGGTGTCCTTCACTCCCAATCCATAGTCCCTCGCCTCCCACCCATGCCTGCCACTCACTCCTGGCCCACAGCCTTGCACTGTCTGCACCCCATTCTCCTGACCCACAGTCCCCTGCCCCCTGGTGCCCCTTGACTCCTGACCTGCAGCCCCTCGCTCCTCCCAGCCCTGCAGCATATCCAGGCTGCTCCACCCCTGCAAGCAATGGCAGTAGCCCTGATGCCACCAGCTGGGCCACACAGCTCTCTGCTGCCCCCAAAGGCCCCCCCTCATCCCCTTCCCCTGCTGAAGGGGCAGGCACCCTCCCGGCTGCAGCCCCAGTGTCTGGACACCTTCTCCCAGCACTAGCAGGCATCCTCCCCTCCTCCCCACACACCCATCCCCTCCACACATACACGCACATGAGAGTCCCCAAGCCCTGGCCCTCCAACCCCCTTCCCCACAGACTTACCTGCATGCAGCTGCTGGGGCTGCTCCTACCACCCTGCCTGGCTGCATGCTGGCCACGTGCATGTGCGTGTGCACTCATACGTGATGGCCCCTGCCTCCAATTGCCCACCCCCGCTCCCCCCAGCCCCAAGCAGCATCTTGCTAGGGCAAGCTTGGAAGCTCTTGGGCAAGCTGGGAAAAACTTCAATGCTGAGCAGATCAAAATCCTGGATGTTTGTTCGTATTTTAAAAAATGGCTGGAATGGAGTTCCAAGGACCCAAAAAGAGGACATGTCCAGGAAAACCCAGACATATGGTAACCCTAAATAATTTTAGTTGCAATTTTGCTGAGACACCTAAGCTCCTTTAAATAACAGCCACAGCAAAATATTTCCTGCAACTATTCACATCTCAAATATATTTCAAATCTAGCTACTTGGATAAATCAATGTGGTGTGAATAAGTTTTCTTGTGGAATTTTTTTTCATTCATTTGATATCATCAATAATGGTATTTCAATATTTCTATTTATTATCATTCCATTTTTAAGATTCTCAATAACAAAAAAATAAACAAAGGAATTTAGAACTTTTGGCGTAAGTTTGATAATTGGTTAATGATTTCCCAGATTTGGAATTCTGATCATTGAGTTGTAATTGAGTCAGCCCCAATACAGCCGCCATTAACTGGATCCTACTCAGCTTGTATACCAAACAAGTGTCTTAAAGCAAAATACATCATTCATTACTATGTCCTGAAAGTATACTAAAAAAGTCCAGAAAAACTGAATGCGTATATACAAAATGGCCAATTCTGAATGTTCATAACTAGTACCAATTACCCTAGGCTTATCAAACTGAGCTTTGGACTTTGAGAGATCTAAAGACAAATGCTGTTTAGCTTTGGTCATTTTCAGAATAATAAAAAAAAATCTGATTGACAAACATGCTAAACTATTTTTTTTTATAACTAACTCAGAAGTAGTTCTGCTGATTTTGCTCACTTTTCCTTAAAACCCCTCCCCTTCAAAACAATTCATCCTAGAAAGCACTTGTTTGAGAATGTTCTGAGGAAGGGATTTACAATATAGCTAGCCTTTACAAAAAGCCTACGTGTACCTGCAACAATTAGTACTTTATCAACAAAATGGAGATTTGTTTAATCAACAAGACTCTGAGGCCATTTCTACACCACTTCCGGGCTGCCCCCAGACTGCTACCAAGAAGTATATCCCATCTACATGCTCCCACCTCGTGTGAGCCTTATCAGCCGTATCTACACATTCATTAATGCTCCTTTGCTACTGCACATTAAAATTAGTACCTCTGGGCATTTTCATATGTGCCCCAGAGGTAGGGGTGGGGGGCAGTGCTTTAATTAGAGTGACTCCTAGATAAAGCACCCCCACTACCATTTTTTAAGTATGGGGATACTGATACACGAGACATATGAGGCTGCTGTAGTGTGGCAATTGCCATGCTCCAGGAGACTTGATTAATTGAGTCTGCTCCGATGTTCTGGAACTCCAGCACATCAGAGCAGCCTCTGTGCTCATTTATAGGTGCCCTCTAATGCGAGATACTAACTAAATGCACATTGGGCTAATCTGATACGCAGTAGTGAAAGTGCAAGCTTTTTTCAGTGAAACTTAATGTGCAGTAGCCAAATTTTACTTCACATTACCATATTAGCATGGTTTTTTGCCATGATGGCCTAATGTGCAGTAAAATAGGCTACTACTGCGCAGTAAAGCGCACATATATACGTGACCAGTGTATGGCAAATGCTAGAAGTAAGGCAATAATACATCTATACAAACATTCATGGTATTTTAATGAACAATCTTGCTCCCATTGAAATGTCAATGGAAACAAAATGATGCCCCTGATACGAACACAAATAAATCAGCACAATTCTGTAATTTAAATATTCTGGGTGGTGCTGAAAGTGGAAGTGTGATGCACTGAGAAGCCTGAGGGAATTATTAATACTGTATTTACTCAAATAGAAGCCTACCCTGATTATAAGATGATCCTCAGCAATTAGATTCCATATATGGAAACTTTATAAATTTGTTACAATTTTCCAAGTACAGAATCTAATTATTGGAGGTTTGGTTTGAATTTGTCCCCCTCCTACTGCTACAACAGGGAAAATAAACCTGGGGAGTCGGTTAGCCCTTTTGCCCTCTGCTTCTCCCCAACTTTTTCCCCTGGCAACTCTTTTCCCCTCACCTTACAGTCAAACCCTGCTCTCCCTTTGCACATGAAAGTGAAGATCAAATTTGATAAATGATGACCTTGAAATTAAATATAGTTGTCACAATTTCCATATAGTACCCATATACTTAGTTCATCTGCATTAATTCCTTTTTACTTTTTTTGGAAACTGCTGTAAGTTTTAGCACAGGTACTCCATAAAAACACTTTTAAGCAGCACTTACTTATATAAGTACTTACATATAGTAAAAATTATGCATAATATTAGTCTAAAGTCAAAGGCTCATGATTTAGTATATAGTTCATTGGGCTGGGCTCCAGCAGAGTCAACAGAACTTCAATTCATCCTGACCCCACAGCTCAGCCCTGTTCACTATGTATGTGTTCTCCAGATATCCCCCACAAAGGATTCTTGTGCTAATTAGGCCCCCATTTATGACTGGAGCCAGATGTTCTTGTCATGAATCCTGGGATGCTCCAAAAATCTATATGCAGATGAGGTGTAGGGCAACCCTGCCTCATGGAGGGCAGGGCCATGCTAATCATATGCAACAGTCATGCTCAGTGTTGGCTGCATTTAATCAGCTTCATAGTTAGTTTCCATTACTGAGCATACGCTACTTTTGGCAACAGTTCAATAACAGACAAGGTATCTAACGTGGTTGCTTTGTATGCAATCATTAGACAAATGGTTTTCCCCCAATGCCAAATGTGGGGGAGGTGGGAAACATCATTTTGTATTCAAGTAAATATAGTATATATCCATGGAGTTTACTAACATAGAGTCTTTCTGACTTTAGTGAGATCATTGTGTTTAATACACATAACATTTAGCAGTTTCTACAGTGTGTATTGTGATAGGGACCTCATTTTTTCTTAAAGCTTCTTTACATTAGAGAGAGGGCATGAATTCTGTAAAGCATGGTGACCTCTTAAACATAATTAAATGATCCTGAGACCTGTTGGTCTTCTGGAAATTCAGAGTGAAAAAACAAGAATCTCCCAGGATTAAAAGTCAGTACAACTTGAACATGAGGAGGATTTTGCCTCCTTAAAAAGTGTCTTTATGAGCTGAGACTGAAAATGATTGTACTCTGTTCTGCTGGACTGTCTTAAAAGTGTAGTAAGTCTAGATATTGGTCAGCATCACCACAATGAAGAAACTTAAGAGATGATGGACTCAGCACCACAGGAAAATATTGCTCAAGTTCTGCAAAAAGTCTATACCCTCTTTTTTATCTCAATTCTCCAAAATTTTGCATTAGATGAGTGCTTAAGTGGTCATGCCTTAGGCTTATGAACTTAACTTTTAGCTTCCATTTTCAAAATGTTGGGCTGTCCAAATAAAAATGGCTACTATTACTATACTGAAAGGCAAAGTAACATTTCTCTTACTATGTAGGATTTTTGTTTTTTGGAACTGATACTTACAGAAAAGATATTAAGACTACAATGTTAGCCCTTAATGTTGCACTTGTACATATATGTAACTTTCAGGTCTCCATGAAAGCAGTGGGATGCCAAGTTGCACACTTCCTAAGTACTTTCAACATCAATTAATTTTTAGTATTTTGCTAATACCAGGTTGGTAAAGTATCAGTCAGGTATCTTACTAGGAGTATACCATTTAAAAAGTCAGCCTTGATTGTTTATTTCATTAGAATTTTTAAACCAAAGTTTAAAGCATACATTTTCAAGTTAGTTTTACAAAATCTAAGTATGATTTAAATGAATCATTAAAATAACTACAAAAAAAAATCAAATGAATTAAATCATGGGCTATGTCTGTACCCACTTGCCTCTACTGACAGACAAGAGCCATCAGTGCCAAGCCACCATGTAAACCCACACACTGCATATACATCCACACACTTTTAATGGATCCATTCATTCAGCACCTGGATCGCCAGGAGGCAAAGTGCTCTGTGGGAGGGCACCAGCTACTGAGTGGATCCCAGGTACCAATCAATGGACTATAGGGGTGTATCTACACGCATCTGTAACTGACTTCTGTAGACTCAGTCCACTCAGCAGAGGTAGAGTACCTCTGCCAGCAGAAAAGAGGGCATGCAGCAGCAGAGGGACACTGAGTATGTTCTGCCAGGAAAACTATAATTTAGACTAGGCCTTGCTTTGAACTGTTCCACCATATGGGAAATCTACTGACTCCATCAGAGAAACAGACCATGTCTAAGGGACAAGAAAAGAACAAAAGTAAATAAACTGGAAAAAAAGAGAGAGAGAAATATATTTTTCTCTATTTCTTTCCTAGATATAGCATTCACAAGTACGACTTGTAGCAAAAATCATTATAACATTTGTCAAACAAACATATGATTTTTAAGAACATGCGACTGATTCCTAACTTGGAGCTGCTCTATAACGTAATTCAGTTTACTTTTTAAACCATGTTATTGATTTTTTTAAAACCAGACATATCAAACAGAACAAGAATTAAAACAGAATTCTATATGAAATATTTCTTCCTAGGGATACTCTGTAATAACATTTGTTTTAGCTGTACTAAATAAATTATTTTAGAACAAATATATTAGAAAGGCATCCATTTGCAATCAATATTGTGGGTACAAATAAAACATATACTGCATGCACATGGCTTTTGAAAGTAAAAATGATATTATTTTTGTACTCACGTTATGATATAGTAAAACTGCATCTGCAAGTATTTTGTCCCTTAATGCGAAAGAGTTCTTTGGACATAAACAAAATCTTTAGAATATTCAAATCCTGTCCTCTATTACAAATTGCACAAATGCAACAGAAGACAGAATCTAGCCTACTGACTTTAATAATAAACTGTTACATCAATTAACATTTGTTTATCTTGGCAAAGACTAATATTTCAGAGGATTGTTTTAAAATAGAAATGTTATTTCAGTTTATCTTTAGGCTCTCTATACTGCTGATATGTATAAAGCAAAAGACAAAGGCATTTGGCTAAACAATAAGCAAATAAGTGTTTTAATTACAGGACTGTGTATTACTGCCATCATTTTCAAAGCCCCTCTCTAGATTTGGATGGCCAAGTTTTCACCTGGTCCAAAACTTGAATTTGCTTATACAAGTGGCATAACAGGGCACTCCAATGAGGAAATAAATAGCTTCTTGGGCACGCAAACCACTTGTATGTTTACATTTATGGGTTCAGGGACAAAAAAATAGAGAGTAAAGAGTAATTTGGGGCTACTTTGATGACATAACCCATGAGGTACGTTTCTTCACTTGAGTTATCTGTGTAATCAAGCAAAGACTATGATTATTTCATATCAGAATGCACAAAGTAGTCAATGGTGCCAACTCAGAGGCTGAGGCCTTTGGCAAGCCCCCATTTTTAGGAAAGACCACAGTACCATCTGGATTATACGTTCTTCAGTCATCTCCTATGTTAGTATTGTGACTTAACATCCTGGTGTTAATACACTAACATGGGTTTAATTACTTTCCTTTAAAAAGTATTTAACCAGCATTATTTTTAGTTTGAAAAAAGGCCTATCAAAACAAAATTAAAACATAACATGTTCTCACCTTGACTGGGTTGTATTGATAATTGGTATCAGTGTCGATAAAATATGGAGATCCCTCCCACCTTGTACTGCACTCCCCCCCTCCTTTTTGGAATGACTGAGGCATAAAGTTCTATGAGAGAATAATAATTGTATTAACTAATTAAAACATGATAAAAATAATGACCTGTATTTTAGACCCACACAATTATGATAACTCTTGATCTGATTTTTTGGCAAAGTTTCTACTCGTACTTATGGGAATTCTAAATTATTACTACAGTATTTTAAAGTAAAAACAAAGTTAAAAAGACACAAATCAGACATTTTAATGCAGGTAGAGGATGGTGTTGAAGTGTGAATTCTACTTCAGGAATCAACTGCTATAGCAAATTAGGGGAGCAGTCTTAGTGCAAATATTTGTATTGAATGAGAGACGTTCTGTCATTATGCTGAATTATTCTGTCTTGTGTAGAACATATTGGCCCTGCTCGTATGTTTACTGGTGTTCTCTAAGAGTTGAATAGTTGTTTAGCTGTAAAGGACTCTGGACCAAATTTATCATCAGTTTTACGCAACAGACCTCACTAGAATTACATCATGGCTTTATCTAGCACTGTGTGTTCAGCTCCCAACTATGTATGTAAATGGTTGGGTGATGACAGTCATGTTTATATACACTGAATCAGCAGATCACTGCAGAAGCATAAACTAACCAGCTTCCAACTTTTCTGATACGTCACGTTGGGCATATTTATCAAATTATCAGAAAAGCAGAATATGTTATCCATTGAATAGGTCATATCAAGACCAGAGAACAGATTTCTAATAGACTCTCCTCACTACTTAAAAGTCATGGTTATGCTTATGTATCTGTCTGCCAGGCTTAATCAGCTGATCTTGCATATCAAATTGCAACTGAACATACAGGGCTAACATACAGGATTTTCCAACTTTAGCAATTCACATGCTACTGGAAAAACAGTTCTATTATAGCAAGAAATGCTATAAGAAAGGTCCCTTTCATAAATGGGGACCTGCCAATGGGATTCCTTTTGAAAAAGGGGGAATTTTATTTACCATAAACTTGTTATATTTTCATTTTTAAATAGAAAGTATAATAATTTAACATTGCCTATAGCACACAGATTATGCATTAGCAAAGTACATTTGCAGGCACTAGATGGAAATATTCATATTTTTTCCAATTAAGGCTCATATAATTAAATCAACACAACATGAAATAATGTTATTGCAGGCAAGGTAAAATAAAGCCCTATAAGTGGATACAGGAAGGCACTATATTGTACCCACATTCTCCATCAATTAGTGGCTCATACCAAATTTTCTGGCATTTGCTAGAATCTGATCCCAGCTCATTTATTTCAGCCAAAGTCTACCTGCAATCACCTGGCTTGTAATTATCAGTGGCTCTTTACTGTGTTGCTCTACTGATTAACAAGAATCAAAAACATGCTTACCACAGGTTGCAATGGGGCACCAGGCATCATGGCATTGGCTAGTTGCATTTGCTGGGCCAGCATGGCCATATTCTTTTGCTGAATCAGGTTATTGCGCCCATTTATCTCCAACTGTGTTTTTAAGTGTGGGGGAGGGTGAAGATATTTGCAATTTTCCCTTGAGCATCGACCCTAAACGAAGAAGAAAGCAAAACCATTCTTGTTAAACAGTCACAGGGATATCTACCTTCTTTATAACATTCTTGCTAAACAAAAGAAATTAAAGATGTAAGGAAAAAAAACAACCCTCCAGGTAATTCTGTGTACTGCCAAATATGTAAAACAGCAACTAAAAATAATCAATTTTAGCAATGACAGCATATCACTAATTCATAAATTGCTGCAGTGTAGCCTTAGACAACTATGTATACCTCAAACAAGCTAAGATAAGCAGAAAAAACCCCACACATCTTTTCTGTGGTACCAAGTTCTTTTTCACTGAAAATGAGAACCAGAGCACTGAGGCTTTCACATCCAACCCACAGATCCATCTCCACAAGTCTGGAGAATGGCAGCAGGTTAGGTGGTTAGACATCCAACAACATGGTACAGTTTGACTTCAGAAATGAAGAAGTAGAAGTGATATTTGAAACAACCTAAAGATTCTTGTCTGTCTGTATTACAACCACAGCACGAAGGAAGCAGTGAAAAGTTAGTAGGAGCAGTATTCAGAAGGCAGCAAATTAGTAGGGA